TTTTTCTTTTCCCTCTTTCCACACGGTCTATTTATTAAATGCAAGTCTGCCTCAAGCTCAAACTCTAATGATTCTATATTTTCCAATGGAATAACAGCATTAGAGCTATAAAGAGGGAAAGGGAATTCCTTGCCAAGAGATTGACAACTCGACTGACAGCTGAAGAAAGAGATTATCTGTACATAAAATGGGAAGTTCCTTTGGAGGGAAAACAGAGAAGAATGCAATTTATTAACAAGCTTTGGACAAATCCTCATGACGAAAAGCACGTAAAAGAGAGTGCTGAGATAGTGGCAAAGCTCGTAGGTTTCTGCGAAGGAGGTAACATGTCAAGAGAGATGTTTGAGCTTAACTTTGTCCTTCCATCAGATAGGAGGCCATGGTTTGCTGGCTGGAACCAAATCTCCGACCTTCTCCATATCTGAGAGAAGCTTAGATTCTTTTTGTAAGTAAATTAATTGTATCGCGTGTTGTTTTTTCATGTACATGAAACTCTCTGGAGCCTCCCAATTTTGGAGCCCCCCAAGTTGTTCCATTACAACTGATTAATTTTAGAGAAGTACGGAAGATTGGAATTTGAGGCATCACATCATGCAACTTCATTGTCTGAATAAAGAATTCAATTGAAATTGTGTCATATGTTACTAGATTAGTACTTGTTGTTCTATACAATCTTTTTGCACAAGCATATATGTTGTACTATGGGAAAGGAAGAAGTTGGAAACAGAGAGGTTTGATATAGAACTGTAGTTTCATCTAGATTGACGATAAGGTAACAATATGCCCCATTATGAGTTTAATTTTAGGTCCCAACAACACATTCTAGTGTTCTTCCTCACAGTGGATTGACAAACTCTCCACTTTGATTGACTTGATGTATTATGAGTCTGTTTGGTTATTTCGGTTCCACTTACATTCCTACTATTTTGAGTTTTCTCGAGCCTTTCTTTCTCCGGTAGATATCGCTCTTATTTATTTATGTCCTCTTTTTGAAAGTTTTCGATCTTGAATAGAAGCAACAAGAGATGGTAATTTGCAGGAATTAAAAGCACATTAGTACAAAAAACTGGATCATCACACCCAAGTTGAAAACTTGCAGGTTAAATTTTTGCATTTAGATCCAAGGCCAATGATGCATGATAGAGACATAAAGTCATAGAAAAATACCTTAAGAGTAGTTATGACAGAACTTGTATCCAGATGTAGACATAGCATAATTTCATCTCTTTTTCATTCACGAGTGCATAAATAAAGCAAAGCAAAAACACATGATGACTAAAACAAAGAGTATAGATGATGGCACACACAGTGACTCTCATGAGATAAAGAGTGCAACAAACATATTATTTTCACTTCTCACATACAAGACTTGGCAAGAATCACATGATTCTTCAAATGCAGTATTAACACTTGGGGTAGGGAACACCACAAGTATTAGCGACTTTCTTAGCACCAGGGGAGTTGACATAGTTCCTTAAAGTTGGGTTCTTGAGATAAGTGCAGAGACAAGGCTTTTGTTGCCTGATCCTGCTGCAGCAGAGTTTAGATGGTGCTGACTTTGATGTGATCGCGCTAAGGCAAGGGCTCAGCTGAATCGCGCTGCACGTTACAGCTACAGAGATGTGTGCTTCAGCAAGAAGCAGAACTAGAACTGTGAGTACTGCAAGCTTTGATGCTGTCTTCATTACTGTCACTTGAAGCTGTTTTTTTTTGCTTCAGTAGATAAGAGAGAGTTGCTGCATTTTAACATAGTTAATAGCTCAATTTATAGGAAAAAACATTGGTGAAAAATTGAATAGTGAGGAGGGATTTTTTGTTCAGAAAGTACAATTAGTGCAATTTGTTTAATTACCTCTTGTTATGATTCACATAATTATGGTACAACCCAAAAATTATCAAGTCAACATGGGGCTACACGCGTGAATGGGCCTTTTTAATTTCCACGAAAGTCCGTCACAAACAATTGTTGTAGTAGAAGTAGATGCTTAAACTGTTCATCAGTTCAAAGGTAAATCAAAGGCGAATCAAGAATTTGAAGTTATGAGTTTTGAATTTTAAAAAAGACAATTTACTTACTGAGTTCTAAAATAAATTGTTACTAAATATATATTAAATAGATTTCTTAACACGACTAGCTCTGCTACTTCTCAATGACTGAAAACAAATGTAAAATTCCATGACCAAGAAATTTCCAAATTGGCGCAGCATCGACCAGTCATATCAATCTCAAAAGTCTCCTTAATTATTATCACTTGCGTTTTGTTTTAGGACGGTAAAATGTAAGTGATAATACGAAAGAGAATATTAAAAATTGTGATAGAAAAGAAAATAGACACTACAACAAAAGAGATATTTAGTGACAATAGATTTTCATGTTAGCGACAATTTGAATTAATATCATTGCATCTAGAGTGAGTAGAATCGTAATAGCCTTAAACAATATTTATACTCGGTTATAAATATTCATATTTTTATTGACACAATTTTTTTAAAATTTATTATAGAGTACCTAAAATTTAAAATAAATAAATAAGAGAGTAGGTCTTTAAGCTCAATAACAAGGAATAGTTATTTTAATGCCCATAAAGAGTACATTATAGAGAATCATCAAGATGTATGATTTAGTACTTTGCTTGTATTCATGTGATAATTAGTTGTGGCATGCATACCAGTGATCATTATTCTTTTGATGCAATGAGAGTGTGCATTCTAATAGAAGGGACCCAATTGCTCCATTTTTTATTTTATTTTCGACGACGATATTAAAATCCGATTAAATTTGATATAGCATGTATCATACGTCATGTTTAATTACTTTATTTATTTTTAAAAATATAAAATAGAAATTAGAAATATTCTTGGAAAATTGAAAGTGAAAGACAAGTCGATTAATGCAATAAAAATCAGGCCATTCACTACTAATGCAACCTAATTCTTGGATGTTTCTGATCTAATTTTTAGTTGAAAAGATGGAAAATAACAACAATTTACCCTCATTGTTTTACACAATTTAATTTCATGTTCAATGTAAACAAATAGTGATGACCACCGTAAATCGAGTTCGGAGTATAAAGGGTGAAAAATTTAACAAATTTTTCAAAATGATATTTGAAAATATTTTTTTACCAAAATGGTAAAATCGTTGAGGAAGCAGCGATTCTGTACGCCGGAGTTTTGAAAAATCGTTGCTATAGCAACGATTTGAACATTTACATTTTTTTTTGAAAAAAAATTTAAAAATAAATCACTGCACGAACAACGATTTATATAATATTTTTAAAAAAAAAAATTAAAAGAATATCGCTGCACCTTTACCTAAATTTGTTTATTTGAGCACTTAAAATTCGAAAACAAAACAATAAATCAAATAATTTATTTTCTTTAATTAGTTTAAAAATCAAATGTTATGTTATAATAGCATTATAGGAGCCCACTTGGACTAATTAATGTCAACAAGGGCACCTCTAACTGGCTATTGTGGGTTTGGCAGTGACACATCAATATTTTATGTTATGTAAATCGCTACAAGTGCTTAAAAATTAAAAAAAAATTAATTACGTAAATCGCTGTGAGAAATTATTTTTTTTTAGGTAAATTGTTGCCTTTGCAGCGATATCTTTTAAAATTTAAAAAAATATATATTATGTAAATCGCTGCAAGTGTAGCGATTATTTTAATTTTTTTTAAAAAAAAACTGGAAATGTACGAATCGCTGCTTTCCAAAACTCCGGTGGAAAAATCGCTGCTTCCTTAGCGATTTTACCATTTTGAAAAAAAATATTTTCATATACCATTTTAGAAAGTTTGATAACATTTTTCACCTTTTAGGGCAGAATTCACTATAAACCCTTTTAATTTGCATCAATTTAAAAGCAATGAAAATAGTGGAGTGTCCATTTTGTAAAACAGTAGGAGTATTCATAATTCATCATTTATATTGATTACCCATGAATCAACGCATTTGATAATGAGGTGTACTGTTGAGTACTCAAATTTCTTTGATATATAATGGGTTAGTGCATGTACCTCACCATAAACTTGAAATAACAAATATAATGATGCGATACACGATTACTTATTTGAGATGAATTGATTGGGAATTTTAAGGTCTGAATTTATAAAAATATATTTTTTAATATCTGTTATTGATGGAAAATGAAAGTTGCGTTTGAGAACTTAGCACCATACGGACCCTACACAACACATATTGCAACTTGCTTTCGGTGCTAAGTGACTTTATATTTATTTTCTTAGCTTTAATGTGCACAATATGCTTTCATCATTATACTTAATTCACACCTGCTATTTATTTGTTTAATTATATGATTATCTGCTAACCCCCTCTCATGTTCACTATCAAAAGTATATGCTTCTTCAAAAACCAAAAAAAAAAAGGGTACCATTAATCATGTCATTAATAAAAAGTATATGCCACTATTGATTCTATAAAACAAATCATATGTTGAAAAAAATACTTTTCGCTATAGTTCATCTGATCATTTTAATCCATAATTTTTTACAAGGGATAATATATTAATCATGTTTCTTAATTCTTCGCATCTTTTATTTATCTCAACGATTCGAGTTGTATAATTTCTTGTGTCGATATGATTTTATTGTTAGTATAGCACTACACGAAATTAGTGATTGCATTGGGTAAAAAGTGGGCATGATGGGTTCTCCATTATTCATTGTTAAATACGAAAAGTAATGTTACTTTCAAATGCATCTAGATCTAACACATGGAGACATGGCCACAAGGCTTCAAGTTAATATATAGGGATAATGGTCCATCCCTCAACCTTTTTGTAGTCTCGTTGAGTCTATGACGTATGCCTAACTCAAACATAACACGTGCTACTCTCATCAATAGACCAAAACCCAGGGCAAGTTGATGGGGACATTTTAGTCCAAACTATTATTATCTTGAGCTCATAAGACATCATTTTTTTCGCTAGAATTGTGTGCCAAAGCTAGATGATAGAACAATAACAAACAAATTAGTACCAAGAGTCTGGCAGATTGATTTAATATTTGTTGAGATTGTCAAAGAGAAGATCAAGCAAGACGTTCTCAACTAACATCAATTTCAACAGACAATAAGACATTTACATATTTGTTTACTCTAAAGATTGGATATTCTAGCATTGTGTTCCAATTCTTTGGCACATAAACATTTCAAATTTACCAACGACTAATTCACAAGTACATATGCATAACTATAATTAGGTTGTGAGTGACAATCCTGAAGAGTGAACAAGCTCCGCTACTAATATCTGCAGAGAATTTCAAATATTAGAGCGAATAGAGTAATCTCATACAAACATGTTTTTTTCTGTCAAGAACAATGTGATTTAGAGCAAATCACAAAAATCTATATAGAACCTTTACTAGTCTTGTAGGTAACAGCTGAGAGGTTTAGAAAGGGGGGGGGGGGGTTATTTGATAGTCAACATCTCTTGTTACTGAAATAAAATGCAAGGATGTATAAACATATAATCGACCTTCAGTTTTGTTCTCATATGCATGAACTGCCGTTCTGCAGACAATCCACACGAGAGTACACACCAGTAATAAGATAAAACATGTAGAATTGGGACGTCACTTTAATAATCATGTTTACTGATTGTTGCTAGAACACACGAGACATGGTTACCTCAGACTTTAATATTAAAAATCAAACTTACCATGCAATATTCTCCCAATGAAGAAAACCACCGTGCCCTCTAGCATTTGAGAAGCTGTAATCAGGTCCAGAAGCTGGGGTACATAAAGAAGTGAGCAATGCAGTTTATCAGATAAATTCAGTACAAGCAAAAAACACTACATACTGAGATGTACTTGTGTCATAAGTGAATGTTCTGAGGGAAGGCAAAAGAAGTACCTTCATAACCCCCAAAAACTGGATCTTCTGCCAACAGAAGGGGTGTGTCTAGGTCAATGAATCTGCAGAGAAGTTAGGTACATAAATTAGAGAACCAATCAAATTGGATAGATATACTGATGTCAACTTCAGTGAAGTATTAAAATACTTCATAGAATTTAGCACAAAGTTAATCCAGTCATAGTACTATCTCCATTTGTTTAACCCAGTGATTCGGTTAATACCATGTTGACTGTTGAGTTTGGGTGATACAGGGAAGGTGGGAGAGAGGAAGTAAAATAAAAGGTGCAGATTATCATCACTTGCAAAGTTCAAGAGGGGGATGGAAGATAGAGCAATCAGCTTTATAACTTGATCAAAAATTGACTAGATAAAGGAGGTAAATCACATTCTCTTCTCTTCTATGGGTATCAACTGACATGTTGCAAAGAATTAATAATTCACCAAGGCAAAATAAACCAATCCTATACCCTTCTCTTCTCCATGACCCTTATAACATTGCATAAACGGAATTAAGATTAAGATTCAGCTTATTGTTATTTTGTTTTCCGAAAGAAGAACGAATTTATTCAACATTACTACTGAACATATCCCAATTAATTCTCCAATTCCTAGTGTCTCCAAGTAGTGGTGATTGTGAAACCAGAATCCAAAGAATTGAACACTGGATTATATTAAAAGGAGAGACAGCAACAACCAATTTTGACCACCAAAGTATCAATGTGTGACTGCCAACTAGAAAGTCAGCTGAATTGCCAGTATGGTGATAGTTTATAAGTCAACTATATTTCATATTTATGTGAGTATGTCTCCCAGTAATGATGATAGATTATGAGTTTGCAACTTGCAATAGAAACTTACTTGAAACATCCAAGGCCAGCGGCTAGATGACCAGCAAAGCCCATGGCAAGCCTGGTTTCAACCATACCACCGATCATCAGATTTAAGCCCGAGGACCTCACCAAGTCAATAATTTCCAGAGCCCCAAGCACCCCAACTTTGGCAAGCTTAATGTTAATGACATCAGCAAGACTTTCTTGCACTATCTTTTTAGCATCAACCAAACTTCGACAACTTTCATCGGCAGCAACAGATACCCCATATTTGTCCTTTGCAATCTGACTGACATGACCAAGACCTTTCCAATCATCTCTATGAACAGGTTGTTCAAATAGCACCGGAGTGACATCCATTTCTGACAGGAAATTAGAGATTTATTATTTTCTCTTTCGAGCGTATAATGATGTATCCAAGCAACTGAAAAAACCTAATCTTTATCATAGAGATACGCCTAATATATGAGAGGGAAGATACAGAGAACTGAGATTCAGATTCTTTGTCATTCCTCTGTCCGTACAGATAGGAGAACATTAGATCTAGATTATAACTTTAAAAAAGAAAAATAATTTACCATGCAACTTTTCCAGGACTTTAATAGCTTCATTTGCCGTGTAACCTTCATTAGCATCTAAGATAAACAAGCAATCAGGATGTGCTGCACGTATGGATTGAAGCACTTCAATGTCTCCGTTCAAATTCTTGCCCACCTTAAGCTTTAAAGTCTTGAAACCTTGTTTACGATACTTTGAAGCCAGTTCAGAAGCTTCCATGGGTGAAACAATCGGAATCTACAATAAGATGATTCAGGCGCAAGTTCTAGTAAACTAACAGAGGCAGAAATTATTGTGTATTGCCAACTGAAGTAGAATAAGAAAGAAAGCCTCAACTGTAATGTCAGTAGATATTGCATTAGATACTCCACCAAATAGTCTCCAGAGAGGTATTCCAATGCTGTTCGCTGCTGCATCAATCAGTGCCATCTCAACTCCTGCCCTGACCTTCAATAAAGTTAAAATTTGAATCAGTATCACACAAGTTTTCAGTTCGACAAAGATGAGTTTGAAAGATAAGAAAAAACATAGTTAAAGTATATAAGGGCTCCAGGTAGCTTGTCAATTATTCCTGTGAATAATGTAGTGTCCAAGCTGGAGGCAGCAGCAGGACTACTGTAAACACACAATACGTGTTTAGTCCAATGTATTAAAAATGATCCATCACACTAAAAAAGGCTTACTAGTTTAGCTTCACAGAAAGGATTTCTGCATATAACATTACTGAAAACTAAAAAGAGATGCTGACTGAAGGTAAGTCAAAAGAACCAGGCGAGAAGGACAATTGAGTGTGCAACAAAACAGAGAAGTTATCATCATATAGATATAGAGACTCAATAAGAAGGATGAATCTGGTCCATGTATCACAATCTAGGGTCCATCCCATAAACTATATAGGTCAATATAGAAAGGCCAAACATGCAAACTAGTCAGAATACTGTGCCTTCCAAGTCACTTTCTTTTTCCATAACTGTCTTCCAAGTCACTTTCTTTTTCCAGTTTCGCCTAGTCAGAATACTATGCCATAAGTGTATCCCAAGTCACTTTCTTTTTCCAGTTTCGCCTAGTCATAATACTATGCCTTCTATATCCTAGCCTCTAAACTCCGACGCCACATGCCAATGTAGATAAGCTAGACAAAAGGTCCATTGAATTGTTACAGTAACAAAGTCAGTCATCCACTCAATAACCATCGTATTAAAAAAATGTACTCCAGTAAATAACTCCATTATCAGCAATTTTATCTCTCACTAAGACCTAGAGAAAATATCATAAACAGATACGCCTATATCACCCAATGTTATGTTGACCTTTGAATTCCAATCCTAAGAATCAATTCCATGAGACACTTAAAATGGTGAAGCCAAAAGAAGCCAACAAACTAACATCAAGGTTAAAGAAATGTATCACTCGAAGGAAAAAAAGGGCTAACACATAGAAGATAGACACTATTGGCCTCAATTTCCAATCATTACTCCAACTTTGGAGTACACATCCAGACACTTCAAATCATGTCCACTATATCAATTGAACACTCAACAGTCCAACTTACAAAATGAACGTGTAGACACCACCAAAATTTACGTGTCACGTCAACGTTGAGTTCCCACAAGATCAGTGGGACTGAGTTGAGATGTCTAGATGTGCACTCCAAAGTTGGAGAGTATTATCCCACAAGATCAGTGGGACTGAGTTGAGATGTCTAGATGTGCACTCCAAAGTTGGAGAGTATTATCTAAGTGTTATGCCAAAAGAAAGAGGTTCAAAATTTTCAGTACAACTTCAGTTTGCACAGAACATACAACAGATGGAAAGCGACTTAGTACCCTACTAGGTTCAACAAGAAAAGAGGACCACAGTTCACAGACCCACATGGATCAAAGCCAAACCAAGAAGAAATCAAACACTATTGTCTTTTTCTTTTTTACCCCCTCTCCAAGAGCTCCTACCACTTTGCTCGCTTGGTGACTCGAACCCACAACCTTAGAATTGGAGGTGTTGAGTATTAACCATTTGAGGGGACCCCTCTTGTCAAAATCAAACACTATCAATATCACAACTGACATCAAACAGAGTTAAAGGGTAAACATGAAAAAAAAGAGTTCCTATTACATAATCCATAATGACAAAGCAAAACAAATTACAGGCATAACTCACAGAAGCAAAATCATGTCCAGGGAGCACGTCGCCAATTTTTGTTAATGCAACATTTAAAGTCATTTCACGGCTCTGCTTCAAGAACTCACAGGCTTCAGCCGCTTTTGCTAAGGCAATGGATTGATCCTCTGCAGTCACAAATGGAAGAATTGGGGCTTCACCCCACCCAACACAGCCATTACTCAACTCAACCCTAATAGCTACGTTTTCCACTTTGTCCAATCTTGATGATGCAATAGTAAAAGGAGCAATCAGTGGCACGTTCAGTGGCCTCCCTTCCGCTTTATGAACATCAATTGTCACTGTTTCCATCAAATTCTTGAACCCAAAGGTTGTCGCTGTAGGTGCCACCGCCGGCGTCGCTGCCGCCATGCAGGCTGTAACAACTTTGGGATTCTTGAAATTGGGGGTAAAGTTAGAAACTTTAGACAATTGGGTGCGTAAAGAAGCAGTAAAATGAAAGAAACAGTGAGTTTGGAAGTTTTGAGTAAGCCCAATACGATCCATCTTCTATGAATTGCAGTAAATAGTGAATTTGAGCTTCACTGATTGGCTTTTGGACAGAAAAGGGAAGATTTGAAAAAAAAAATGTCATAGTGATTATCGAAACTTTGTTCTTATACTTGTCCTCTGCTGACACTGTGATTGAAAATACTGATAGTTTTATTTTATTTGGAAAAAAATGTTTGTCTATATGTGGGAGAATTTTGAAAAGCTTTTGTCTTGTGTACTTTGTTTTGTTATATTTATATTTGGATAATGCATAACTGTGTCCAGTACAAAATTTTATAAACACACTTATATTATAAAATTTTGTTATTTTTAGAATTTATTTTATTAATAGTTTTTTATCCTTTTCAATCTACCTAAAATTATCTTGTATTGATTTTTCTTTTAAGCTAATGCTACGTAAAACGAAAAAAGATGAAAAATTACTTATAAAGTAAATTTAGAAGATAATAAGATTTTAATATAATATAAGGATACTTGTGCATTTTTTCTATATTTATTGAAATATAAGGGTTGGTGGGCTATAAGATACAACATAATATTACACTATATAATATAGCTTATATAAATTTTATTGTAAAGTATAGCGTATACAAATCTTATTATCATAGAGAAACGATTTTTAAAAATGACTCTTAAGGCATGAATTTTTTTTAAAAAAAGGATATTGATGTGAGTTATCATTCGAGAGAAATAAAAAAAAATATAAATTTTTTTTTTATTTTGAATCAAATAATTTAAATAGGATTTGAACTTATGCCTAATTATGACCGCTCTATTATTGAACTATTGAGAAATAATAGGAAGAAAATTTGATAACAAAGTTTAATTTATATATTATCAAATTCATAAATAATATGACCTTAAAATTTTCTTTGTAACTTCTTCCCCTCTTGCATTATAATTGAAGTCTTTCTTTATTTTATTTTAAGATATTATAATATTTTAAGAACGGAAAAAAGATTTTAAAAAAATATGTTGTTGACGTAATGAAAATGATCTAGAATTGATCTTTCATATATTGAATCATGACTATACTTAATGTTGATTTTCGGATTAAAAATATCCCTCCTACTATTTATTGGACTTCAATTGCTATTTATGTTAAAAACGTATTTTTCATTTAATCAAAACTTACTCGTATCGAATATTTATATTAAATTAATACATATTTTATTTTACTTTATTAAATCACTTAGTAATACATTTTGCTTAGCTTGTTTAAACACTCGGTGCGAATAAATTTTTATTTTTCTCTATCTATCGTGTTGTTATAATTAAATAAATGGTACTGATTTATTAGCTCATATATCAATACCAACTAATAAATGATCTGATTCATTCAAATTTATTTGTTAAGAATTGTTGAAGCTAAAAGGACATTTTTAGTTTGAAATTATAAGTGAAAAATAATTAGGGTCTAATAAGTTAAATGAGGACAAAATTGAACTATTTTTAATACTTAAGAGGAACTTCTTTTTTAATCATTTTCTATATTCAAAAATCAAATTATTATAATTTGGGGTGTAATGATAGTAGCGGACTAGTTGAGGCATTCATTGTCAATGAAAAATTGAAATTTAAAAATAAATTATTACAATTCAAAACATTTGATTAATGTTTTTGTAAATATACTAACATGAATTTAATTTAATCGAATAAATAAATTTTTCAAAATATAATTGATTAAGATATATCACACTGTATATAATCTCACATCAATGTACCTATCTAAGATCCAATTACAATTCACAACCAAATAAATAAAGAATTTATTTTTAATTAAAACATGACAGCTAGCAATGTTTAACATGTTTAGCACCTAATTAGTAATATTTTTCTACGAATTTAAAACACATAGGGTCTCGTGAGAGTGGTCCAACATTAATTAAAAGTTAAAACTTTATATTATACGATGTCTCTTGGATATTTCCTAGGGTTATTTCCCCATTAATTCTACAGTTAATATCCCTATTTGATCTCCAAAGGGTGAATCCACTAATGCCTTCTTATTAAGCTAAGTTTTTGTCCTATTTGAAAAAAAAATCGGTTTTTTTTATACTCCAAACATCGATGATATAATACGGAGATAGATTCAAAATTTAATGAGTGATTATAGTTATTTGAATTAAAATATAGAATAATAATAATAATTTTTAATAGATTTCTTAATCTATAATACTAAGTCTAAACAAAAATTATAAAATTCTCAAAAACCTTTTTGCAACATGTTGTCTTTAGTATGCACTCTTTTAATATTTAATACAACATCAATCTAGCAAGACACATGCAGCTTCAAATTGGCCAACAAAAGCAAAAGTTTTTTTTATTTTTAATGCAATAAAGACAATTTTTTGTATGTTAAAAAGAGTCGGTTTGAATTGACTTTAATTTATGTAATTTAAAATTAAAATAATTTTGTAGAATTTGATTAAATAAAATAAATATTTTAAAGTACTTATATTTTAGCCAAAATAAAATGAAATAATAACAGAAATCTCACCTTTTAATTTACTTATTACCATTATTCCCTGTAAGTTTTATAAATTTTCAAAATCTCTCATTTTTCTCTTTAAGTCAAAAATGTCATTAATGTACGTGACTCTCTATTAATGTATCCGACCCTCTTTTTAATGTATTAGCTCATGTATCTGATCCTCTTTTAATGTATCAACATTTTGATTTTTTGGACATTAATATATCCGGACCCTTCATTAATGTATTCAATCCTCTTTTTAATATATCAACGCATGTATCCGAGCTTCTTTTTAATGTATCAACGTTTTCATTTTTGACCATTAATATATATGGACCCTCTATTAATGTATCCGTTTAAGGGATTTATATAATTATAAACTATTAAGGAGGATAAATTGTTCTTAAAAGTATGTGATTTCTATAATTTGCACTAAAAAGTTTAATTTGTTTTATAGCTATATCCCTCAACTTATTTTTTATCGCGCTATATTCATCAACTAATGAATTACTAAATTATTTTTCACATAACTAAAATTTCATTTCAATTTTACCTAAGTATCATATAAAACGTCTAGTGACTTTTATAATACTTAAGGCAAACTCGAGTGACCTTTTAGTTACAAAAAATAATTTGATGAGTTTGGTGATACTCCGATAAAGTGGAGTTGATCTAGCCATGTCCACATGCAATTTTAGGCGAGAAACTCATAGTGTTAGCCTTTTGTAGGCACATGTAATGTACACAAAGCTTAAAAAAAGGACTAAGATGAGATACTAAAAGTTTGCAAAACGAAAAGCATAGAAGAAGATGCAGGGCACTAAGAGTAGGTGCAATACAAAGTTAAACTCTATGCTCAAGAAATTCTTTTCTTCCCCTTTTTTTCTAGTTTCTTGGCTACGAAGCTTAGTACCAAAATACACTTATTTAAACTTATTGCCTAATAATCGAGATTTACGATACATTACCAGAATTTCATAATCATGGCAACTTATTCATCTGATTCTGATAATGATTTTGAACCAACATCAAAACTTTTAGGCCGCCAAAGGCCTATTCATTCTGTTTTAGGAGGAGGAAGAGGTATCAGTAAACTTTAAATCCTGAATCTGCCTCTCTGCTGCTAATATGAGTGGTAGAAAATTTGTTATAACATTTGAAATGCTGCATTTCACTTTTTTGTAGTTGCGGACATATTGTTATGGAGAGACAAGAGACTTTCAGCTGCGATTCTTATCGCAGTTGCAGTAATGTGGTTTCTATTTGAAGTTGTGGATTATACCTTTGTGACTTTGCTTTGTCATGTTTCCATCACCACTATGTTAATAGTCTTCATCTGGTCTGCTGGTGCAGATATGTTTGGATGGTAAATCCTCTTCTTTTCCCGTCCTATGAAAGAAAACATATACATACACACAGTACAGAGACGGATTCAGGATTTAAATTTAATCAGTTCAGCTTTTATGTTCATAGCACTGAACTTGATTTAGATTGATTATTCATATGACATTTTGCAGGACACCTCCAAACATTCCCAAAGACATATTAGTGGATACTTCATTTGTAGATGTTGCTTCAATAATACACAACAAGTTCAACAATTTCCTCTCCATATGTCACTTTGTAGCATGTGGGAATGATGCAAAATCCTTTTTTTTGGTATATGATGAATCAAATAATTTAATTAATCATATCCTTCATTTCAATAGATTTATTATATACATAAATGAACCAATGCTAAATTTCATGTTTTAGGCTATCATTTCTCTCTATATATTATCAGTGATTGGAAACTATATCAGCACTTTGAACCTTTTGTTCTTTGGTAAGTTTACTAAGCTATTTCTCATTCTTTTATTAGGAACATAACATAAGTCTCTTTTTTCATCCATTAATGTTAAATTAAACTTCTCTGTATTTGTTCACAAGGTTTGTTGTGTGTGGAAACTCTCCCATTTTTCTACGAGCGATACGAGGAAGAAGTCGACTATGTTGCATATAAAATTAAGAGACAAATGAGAAAAACTTACAGGAAGTTCAATGCAGAGTTTCTAGGCAAAATTCCCAGAGGACCAGCCAAAGAGAAAAAGGGTTAAAAATAAGTTGGAAGCACAAAATTTGGAAGTGGACTTATGTTGTTTTGTTGGATATCCAAAATAATGAAATTTGCAATTTGATCAATGTACAGTAATTCAATAGCACAACCTTGTAAAATGTATTTGCAGAACTAGTCAAAATTTCAATGATGCATCTGAAGTTCAAAATGGGAAAAAGGTGCATAGTGTGTTTGCAATGAGAGCTAGGAGCACGTCACGATTTGTGAGTTAGGAGTACGTCACGATATAAAACTTAAGTGGAGAAAGGTAGAAAAGAATAATGATTATTATCCATTGAATTTTGAACCGCATGCACGGATGGCCTTAAAAAAAAGACTAAATTAATTAAATTGATAAACACTAAGAGAGAAATATAGAAAAAGAGAACTTTAATGTTTCCACATATATAGTTTGTGTGTCCTTTTTGGAAACCACCATGTTAACCTCAACAATGAAGCTTGTGACCAAATTCTGTAGGCATGTTCTCTTTTAGTAAAATATAACTGAATTATTGCACTAATTTGAATTCCCACTAATCTAAGGATTAGATCGCACTA